CCCCCCCCCACTGCTTTTCTCCCTCCCTTTTCTTTCCTCCTGCCCCTCCCTCCCCTCCTTTTTCCTCCCCCTCCCACATCTTCCCCCTCCTCTCCCCTCCCTCCCTTCTGCTCCTCTGCCCCCTTTTCTCCCTCAGTTGACCCCGCACCTCCCCTCCCTCAACAGTTTCTCCCCCTCCCTCCCTCCCTTTCCTCCCCCCCTCTGCCCCCCCATCTCCCCTCCCTCAAGCGCTTCTCCCCTTCCTCCCTCCCTTTCCTCCCCCCCTCTGCCCCCTCCCTCCCCCATCTCCCCTCCCTCAAGCGCTTCTCCCCTTGACTTTTGACCCTCCCCCCCACACGCTTGTTTCTTCTCCCCCCTCCCCCCCTTCCGCTGCTCCTCAGCCCCTCCCCTCCCGGCTGCTTGAGCTCCACCTCTGCCGTCGCCGCCGCCGCCGCCGCCGCTGCCGCATCCCGGCGCGCAACCGGCTGCTGGTGTCGGGGCGCCTTCAGGGTCCAGCATGCGGACGGGGGGCAGCGGTTCAAGCGGCGGCGGCGGCGGCGGAGGCGGAGGAGGAGGCGGAGGCGGAGGCGGCGGCCCGGCCGCGGCCACTGCAGCACCGCCGGGGGTCTCCGCCGCCCCCGGCCCGGCGTCTTCGGGCGCTTCGCCGTCGCAAGAGGAGGGCGCCAAGGGGACGCTGCTCTCGCTGCAGCGCGGGTGCACCATGGGCGGCCGCGCCGGCAAAGGGGGCTCCCCCAACGGGGAGTGCCGCCGCGGGGACGAAGGGGGTCCCGACCCGCCGCCCCCGCCGCCCTCGCAGCCCAAGGTCTCCTTCTCCTGCAGCACCGAGGGAGGAGGCGGCGGCGGCGGCGGGTCCCCGAAAGCGGCCGAGGAAGGCGCCACCGATGGAGCCGAGGTGGGGCCGGGCGTCGGCGAGCCCCGCGGCGGCCAGGCGACTTTCATGCAGCGGCAGTTCAGCGCGATGCTCCAGCCGGGCGTCAACAAGTTCTCGCTGCGGATGTTCGGCTCGCAGAAGGCGGTGGAGAGGGAGCAGGAGCGGGTCAAGTCCGCCGGCGCCTGGATCATCCACCCCTACAGCGACTTCAGGCGAGCCTCGGGGCAGCGACCGCGGGAGGGGGCTGGGAGGCCGGGCCACTCGCCCGGGTGTGTGGGGGGGGAGGGGCTGCTCCGCCCTTCGCTTTGCAGGCAGAAGAAGTCAGCGGGGGGGGGGGGGGGCGGAATGGCCTGCCGTGATTTCAGACCAGAAAGAGAACTTCTCCCCATTGACCTTTGGCCTAGTAGAAAAAGGTACAATCCAACCCGCTGGAAGGGACCTCAGAGGTCTTCTAGTCTAACCCCCCCTGCTCCAAGGCAGGACTCTTGTTGCCTCCTGGTGAAAAGACAGGTAGTCCTCAACTTACGACCGCCATTACTACGTGAGAAATATGTCGAGTGAGTTTTGCCCCCATCGAAGGACACTTTTCTTTTTTTGCCACGGTCATGAAGTGAATCATGGTTGTTAAGTGAGTCACAAAGGTTTTCCCCTTTGACTTTGTTTGTCAGTTGGTCGTCAGAGGGGATCACGTGACTACGGGACTCTGCAACATTCACAACCCTGAGTCAGTTGTCAAGCTTCCGAAGGTGTAAATCACGCGACCCGTGTTGATGCTACGATGGTCTTCGGCGTGGAAAAAAAAAAAAGTGTCTTTTTCAGTGCCGTTGTAACATTAAACAAACCGTTGTAAGTCGAGGACTATCTGTAGTGGCAGCAGCTTTGGGATTTTTCCCATCCTGCCTTTAAAGGAACGGAGTCTGGGCTTCCCTCCCTTCCTGTGGGATGTCTGTGTGGGGGAGGCCAGAGCTGAAACCTTGGGTCAGGATCAGACGCAGCTCCCCCGAAAAAAGAGGAGAATCCAGACTGACAGCCTGATATTGCATCTCCCCTTGGTCTCCAGCTAAGGGCAAGAGCCCACGGAGGGACCTCAGTTGCGGCAGGCATCCATCAGATCAATGCGCCGTCTCCCTCTGAGCATGGAGCTTGACAGGAAAAAAATAAATCCAAGCGAATCTGTGCAGAATTGCTGAGAAAGTGGGGAGAAAACCCGGGGTCACTCTGTTGTGCGAAGGACGGGTAGGGAAAGCTCTAGTCTTCCAGCCAGCAGAACTTGGGGTGGGTGGAAAATGCCAAGGAGGAGGACATTTGAGGCAAAACAGGGACAGTCGGTGGGAGAAGTAGGAAAGAAAGGAAGAAAAAAACATTTGGGGCTGTGATGGGTTCCAGAAGGACAAGGCAGATAAATTCTTGCACAAAAGGAAGAAAAAGAAGAAAAAATATCTGTAGAGATTCTCAGTCATCTATTGCTCCAAAGGTGCTTTTTCAGGAGGCAGCTTTTTTCTTTGAAACCGTTTCACTCCTCATCCAAGAAGCTTCTCCAGTTCTGACAGGATAGTGGGGAACGGAAGGATCCTGTCAGAGCTGAAGAAGCTTCTTGGATGAGGAGTGAAACGTCTTCAAAGAAAAAACAAGGAAGTCCGGTTGCCTCCTGCAAAAGCATTTTTGGGAGAAGGAAAAAAAAAAGTATTTCTTTATTAGGAAGATGGTTGCATTGGTTTATCCGGCTGGCTGTTTTTCTCGGGATGAATGTTTAGGCAAAGGTTTAAAGCCTGTTGCTTTGTCCAAATCTTTTTGAAGTGATAGTTTTAATTTGTAATTTGCATTTTGGGACTATTGTTAATACCGCTTCTAAAGAGGGCTTGGTTACATCTTCAGGGAGCGAGCGGCATATTGGCTTTCTAAATAAATTATAGGTACAGGTTTCCAGAGCGACTTTGAGCTATTCCTGTGGTTGTTTTAATACAAGCCAAGAATGAAACGAAATAGCTGTCAGGACATCTAACTGGTGTTTGGGAGAAGTAATAGATCAGCCTTGGATGCTTTTAAGCTTTTATCTCTAAAGGAACTTGAGAATTCTTAATTGGGATTGCAAAAGGTCAGAATCAGATTCACAGTAATAACTTAAGGGATGAATCAGAATCAGAATAGAGCTGGAAGGGGCCTTGGAGGTCTTCTAGTCTAACCCCCCCCTGCTCAAAGCAGGAGCTCCTATACCATTTCAAACAAGTGGCTGTCCAGTCTCTTCTTAAAAACGTCTGAAGGCAAGTTATCCCACTGATTAATTGTCCTCACAATTAGGAAGTTTCTCCTTAGTTCCAGGTTTTTTCTCTAGACTTAGTGAAACCCAATTGCTTCATCCATTCTTCATACGTTTTACTCTCCAGACCTTTCATCATTTTAGTTGCTCTTCTTTGCACTTTTCCCAAAGTCTCCACATCTTCTTTGTAATGTGGTGACCAAAACTGGATGCAGCATGAGACGTGTGTGGCCTTACTAAGGCTTTATAAAGCGGTACTAATACTTCACGTGATTATGCTTATGTTTATACAACCAAGGATTGTATTTGTTTTTTTGGCTGCTGCTGTACGTTGCTGACTCATGTTTAAGTAATCGTGCATTAAGACTCCAGGGTCCCTCTCACAGTTACTGTTTTAGAGCCAGGTTATATTCTTAAGATCGAGGCATGTGCGAGTTTTACTTCCTGAGCTCTTACTACGGTAGCTTGGAATGCATTGCACCATTTCAAATTTGCTGTTGCATAGTTTGGGTTTCATGTATTGCACGGTTGATTTTATTGAATGACCCCCGCTGAGCTGGCTTCCCAAAACAACTAAGCCATAAATCATGTTTGGCAGGCATGTTAAACTAGAGCCAAGCTACTGCCATGTAGCCCAAAATTGTACTGTAAACAAAGTATGAATCTTAAAAGAGAGCATAAATCTAGATACCGGTAGGGTTAAAAAGAGATTTTAAAAAATTTCCGTTTTGAACTCAGGTTGCGAATTTATGGGAGACAGAAAATTCCTGAGTTCTCACCAGTTATCCTGATCGCTAGATTGCAGTCAATCTTTAGAGCAGTGCTACCGTATGCCCTAAATCTTGGGCATTAAGCTTATTCACTGTTGCTGAGTGGCAGACTTACTCACCGTGAATCAAACCTCAATCGGTAAGATTCATGCCCCAAGCATTCAATCGAAGTAAAAAATAACCTTGTGGCATTTTAAAAATCAACACATATATACCAAAAGTGCCTCTTTCCTTCCGGGACCTCCAAAGGTCCTGTTGCTTTTGCAAAATCTGGGAAATACGTCGTCCAGCACATAATTGTATTGGAAAAAGGCTTTGGGACACTGTAGTTAAGCCATTAGTCTGGCTGGAGAATTCTGGAAGTTGAAGTCCACAAGTCTTAAAGTTGCCAAGTTTGGAAAACTCCTGCTTTAGGGGAAGTATTTTTAGCGGCTGAGGTTTCTGAAGTTGGTCAGAAAGGAAATTTAAGGATGTCTTTCAAGCCATATCTGGGGAAGTGAACACTGACAAAAAGAATTTATGACTATTGTCCTTTAGTTCAATTTTAGTCTCGGAAAGGTTAAGCTTTGGCTTATCTGGATGAGTCCCTGCAGTTTTTCCTGGCAAGGTTTTGGGGTTTGTCCTTGCCTATTAATTCTTCCCAGGGCTGAGAGAGAAGGACTGGCCCAAAGTCACCCAGTTGGCTTTCATGCCTCAGGCAGGACTAGAACTCACAATCTCCTGGTGATTGATCTACATCCTCCCATCCGTCTTTCATGGCTAAGGCAGAACTAGAACTCGCCATTTCTGGGTGATTTTCCCAAAGTCACCCAGGCAACTTTTGTGCCTAAGGCAGAGCTAGAACTCACCGTCTCCTAGTTTTTAGCCTTGTGCTATACCAGCCTGTCTCCCTGCTTTGTTCTTCAGGTGCTAAATGTTCCTATCCTCCAACTGAGCCTGTTGGCTGGGATTTTTACAAATTGAAGCTCCAGTGCAAATAGATATACGTTGCTTAGAATGTTGGTGAGAATAGAATAGAATAGAATAGAATAGAATAGAATAGAATAGAATTCTTTATTGGCCGAGTGTGATTGGACACACAAGTAATTTGTCTTGGTGCAAATGCTCTCAGTGTACATAAAAAGAAAAGATACATTCGTCAAGAGTCAAGAATCATCACGTCCAACACTTAATGATAGTCATAGGGTACAATAAGCAATCAAATCATACTAGGAAACAGTCTGTATAAGGTGACTTTATGGGATTGGGTAGGAATAAACATGAAACTTAGTCCTTTCAGTGGGGTTCTGTTACTAGGTGGTGGTGAGGGGGGGATAATAATTAATTAAATGAATAGTTTTAAGTGACACTGAGCAGATACTGGAAAAAGGTGGTTTGATGCTGATTTGATCAAATCAAATCTTTATTACTTCCATAGACCAGCATATTAGTGCAACTTTAATGTTTTAGTTATTATTGAACAAAAGTTGGCAGTTTTATCATTATGATGCAGCGGAATACTCAGAAAGCAACATCAGAAGACGTAGTCCTCATTTTATGACCACTACTGAAAGTAGAACTTCCATCACTAGGCAGTATGGTTGTTAAATGAGTCATACCCAGTGTTATGCCTTTTTTGCCATAGTTGTTAAGTGAATCGCTCTGAATTTGGCTTCTTCCTTTGATTTTCCTTGTTGGAAGCCCCCTGTCATCTGTCCTCCCCCAGAAGGTCGCAAATCACAGTCCCGTGATGCTGCAACCATTGTAGATACATATTGGTTGCCAAGCACCCAAATTATTATCACATAACTGTGGGATGCCATGACGGTCATCAGTGCTAAGAATCAGTCACAACCTACTTTTCCCAGCACCGCTGTAATTTTAAACAGTCAATAAACAAATGGTCATAAGTCAAGGACTACCTGTAACCAATCAGTTCTTATTTTGGACAACGGATCACACAAGGTGACTTTCTCAAAGTGTCCTTCATGAAGTCCTCGGCGTACGACCACAATTGACCCCAAAGTTTCTGTTGTTAAGCGAGGCATTTGTTGAATGAGTTTTGCTCCATTTTACGGGCATGCATTTATGACGGTTGCAGTGTCCTGGAGTCACGTGACTCTCCATTTGCAACCTCCCCAGTCGGCTTCCGGCAAGGAAAATCAATGGGGGAAGCCAGATTTGCTTAATGATGGCACGATTCACT